ATTAAGTACTATGTGTCCCCAGTTATGAATGAACAGGCTGTGATTTACATCACAGCCTGTTCATTCATGATTTCCTCAATGGGGAGAAGCACTCACTACAGAGGCTCCTCCCCATTCATAAACTGCTTGATAGTAAATGTTTACTATTAGCAGTTTCTGAATGAATGGGAAGCCTCTGTACTGAGTGATCTACATTCATTGAGTGCTGGGGCTACAGAAAAAGAAATTGAGGACTCCGTGTCCTCAATTTCTTTTTCTATTTCAAAAGGGAAATGTCAGGGGTCTGTTTAGATCCTCAATATTTCCCCGAAGCCCCCCAACAGTAAAAGGAAAAAAAATAATAAAAAAAAAAATTAAAAAAACATTTAAAATGATAAAAAAATAAAAAATCTGTAAAAAAAAAGAAGCAATAAAAAAGAAAACCACAAACCCCCCTCCCCCCACACACATAACTTACACGTGAATATTGTGGTGTACGCCATGCACATGCGCTGCAATGCGTTGTTAGAACGTATCACAGTTCTAACAACGCATTCTAGGGTCCTGTTGCCTGCAGACCCCCCACAACCACCGGGTCAGGGTTGTAGGGAAGAGGCCCTTGTCCCCATCGGCATGGGGACATCCTCCCAATGCCGAGGGCACGTGGCCTGTTAAGGTGCAGGGGGGGGCGCTTGATCACCCCCCCCCCCCCTTTCCTGCCCTGCTGGGCCAGTGCTCGGATCAAGTGTCTGATAGGAATGTTTTTTCCCCCATTATTTGGGGGGAAACCTCAATTTTTTTTTTCATCTTTTGCAGACTCTAAGAGAGAAAAAAAAAAAGACTTTTCTTTATCTAATGTAATTTTGCTGCAACGAAATTTCGTCGATAAACAAAATTTCGTCCAGACTACCGCTAACGAATTTCGGGAAATCGGAAATTCGGATTCGTTTGCATTCATTTTAGCTGTAATTCTGAATTCGCACATGTCTATAATCTGTTAATAACAACCAGCATGGGGTCAGAGGCCTCATGGAGGTAAGGTGTTGATTGTATTTGCATAATTGGAGTCTAGGAGGTGTTATTAACTTGCCCAGAGAAGCATGTTAAAAAGGATGAATGAGAACCTTCACAGACTTATATTCTGATAGATACACTTGTTTTCGGAGGATTTATCTGCATTGTTATATTTATTTCATGTGGTTTCATGTTTTTCATTTTTTTTAATTTATTGGTTGTTTTTATTTTTATTCACAAGCACTGCACCAAATATCACTCAAGATATTTATGATTTACTTTTTGGTGGGTTATTCACTAGGGTGTTAGCTGCTTATGCTCATTTAACAATATTTCTGAGGGAAAAGGAAGAGGGCAGAAGGTTCATACCAAGAGTTTTGCTTTTTGTTTTAAAGAGTTTTTAGTGGGGTTTCATCAAACTTGGCTGCTAAAGTGGAAATACACTTTAACTCAGATTAGACAATTTGTGGTGACTACTCCATGTACTGACACAGAAGTGGCCCTGCTTAATAGCATGAACCAATTCACATGTGTAAATAATGCTTTTGCTGCTTCATATGGTTGGATACAAGAAGTCTAATAGTTGTAGGAAATCATTCATTTTCACTAACAGTAAAGAATGGAAAACACTTACATGTTAGACCATTTGTGACATCAGAAATTTCAAGTAATATTGCACCTCTACTTGTTTTACTTTTCAAAATATGGTCCACCAGTTTATCATTTAGGAATGTAATTAATGTGATATTTGCCTTGTATGTAAAGCGTGCAGTGAAATTTGCAGACCACTTATCAAATTTCCTACAAAAGAAGAAGAATAAAAAGATAAGAAAACCATCAAACCATAAACAGATAAAAATGATTACACAAGTTCT